ATTATGATATAAAATGAATTATAATAAATGGCTGCAGTCCTTTCTTATAAATGGTTAAATTATTAATATATAATGAATTATAATATTTGATAAATTATAATCAATAAATGGCCACAATCCCACAATCTTGTATTATAAATGGTTTACATCCCTTAAAATAATTGGTAATACATAATAAATTACAATATATAACACATGACATTATATAATATGTCATAATATATAATAATTTATGATAAATAAATTAATGTTTTAAATCCTTATTTATTATTATTATTTATTATATTGATTACAAAGGGGTTTATATAGCCTAAAATAATTGGCAATATATAATAATTTATAAGAATCCTTTATTAGAAATGGCCAAAATCCTTTAAAATAATTGGTATTTTATTGTAAATTATATTGGAAATAGTAACAATCCTTTGTTATAAATGGTTATAAATGGTTAAAATCCCTTAAAATAATTGGTATTTTGTAATAAATTATTATACATTAAAAATGGTAAAAATCCTTTGTTATAAATGGTTATAAATGATTAAAATCTTTTCAAATAACTGGTAAAAATAAGTTATAATATATAAGAAATGGTAAAAATCCTTTCTTATGAATGGTTTACCTACTTTAAAATATTTGATAATATCTAATTAGTTATATAAGAAATTGTAAGAATCCTTTATTATGAATTGTTAAAATCCTTTCAAATAATTGGTTATAATATATAAGAAATGGTAAAAATCCTTTCTTATGAATGGTTTGCATCCTTTAAAATATTTGGGAATATAAAATCAATTATAATACATTAGAAATTGTAAGAATCTTTTATTATAAATGGTTAAAATCCTTTCAAATAATTGCTAATAATAAGTTATAATACATTAGAAATGGTAAAAATCCTTTCTTCTGAATGGTTTACATCCTTTAAAATATTTGGGAATATAGAATCAATTGTCATAAATTGGGAATTGCTATAAACAGTCAAACCTTTATAATTAATTTGATATTTTATAAATATAAATATTATAATGTGGTGATTCCAGGGCAGGGCTGGGAGCAGCAGCAGCAGCTGGACACGCTGGAGCCACCAAAGCCCCGAATTCCCGGAGAACTTCCAGGGTTTTCCATGGAAAACCTGCACGGAGAGGGGTCCTGGTGGGCAGCCAGGGAGCTGTGCAGGTGAGATGGTCCTTGGGACATCCTTGGGAAAAGTGGGAAAATCTCCAAACACACCTGAGGGATGGATTACAGAAACTCTGGAAGGATCACAGAAACCCTGGAATGGTTTGAGTTCAGAAAAGTGGGAAAAGCCCCAAATCCTCCTGCAGGAAGGATCACAGAAACCCTGGAACGACTGAGTTGGGAAAGGTGGGAAAAGCCCCAAATCTACCTGGGGGAAGGATCACAGAAACCCTGGAATGGTTGGGAAAAGTGGGAAAAGCCCCAAATCCTCCTGCAGGAAGGATCACAGAAACCCTGGAATGGTTGGGTTGGGAAAGGTGGGAAGAACAGTGGAGCCCTGGAATGGCTGGGTTGCACTTCCAAGCTCATCCCATTCCCAAGGGCAGGGAGCTCCCACCATCCCAGGGTGCTCCAAGCTGGCTTTGGACACTTCCAGGGATGGGGCAGCCCCAGATTGGGAATAATTCACATTTCTAATCCAAGATTTGTTACTGGAGCAGCTCCTGTCCTCACCCCAAATCCAGAATATTCTCCAAACGTAACCTGGGAATCATTTAAGAGCCTTACAGACCTTCCTGAAAAAGATGTGTAATTGCTCATCTGATTTATTTGGCTGCCCTGTTAATTGGACTGGATTAATCAGAATCAATAATTCACTCTTGGTGCTCGTTGTGGAATAAATGAGCTGGAAAAGCCACAGGGAGAAGCAGAAGTGGGTCTGACAGTGATGGGAATGTGGCTTTTCCCAAAGAATCCCAGCAAACTGGAGCTGATCCCTGCAGGAAAACAGGAATGCAGAGCCTTTCCAAGTGCTCTCCCTATTCCTTGGGTGGGAACACAAGGAAATGATCCTGATTATTTCAATTTTTCTTCAGGTTTTTGATGATGAAGGGAAGAACGTGACACCCCATCCCCTGTTCCAGCCAGACCCAAATGCTGCTGTACCCAGGCAAGAAAACTTTTATTAAGTATTTTATCTGTTTTAGTGATATTTACTAAGTGCAGACAGCCCTTTATGCAAAAAAAATATGAAATATATAAACCAAAATGTTGAACTAAAAACATTAAAAATAGCAGTTCATCTATCAAAATATCTTTAACATAATAAGAATTCTCAGCTTTAATAATATTTAAGCAAGTTACCTCTGTGTGATTATGTGCATCCATCTTCAAAAATGCTCTTAAACAAAAAAATTTGGAGTTGAAACTCCTAAATTATGTTTCACCACATTTTGATTTACAAAGCTCCAGCACAGAGGGAAAAAAACCAAAGACTTGGGGCTGACAAACTCAATTAAATCGTGCAAAGAATGTAAACAATTATTGGTGTTTTAAATGAAAAGTCCTGAGCCACAGCATTAGCAAAAGGCAAGGAATAATTGTAATTATTTCCAATCTATAATTACAATTGTAAACATTGATTTCTGAGAGGAAGAGATTGCTTTTTTTGGCCATGTTTCCATGCTGGCAGTTCCAAAGGACAATCCCAGGGGTCGGGATATCAACCAGGAGCAAATATACATTAAAAAAATGACTTAAAAATACAAAGTACCTTCAGAAAATAAACACTTTTTGTATTTTTTTGAGACAATTTCTGCTTGTTTCTTGTCCCTGAAGGACAAATGGAATCAGCACATCACCAACCAAGTCTGCCTTAGATGAAACAGAACCTCAACAAGACCCAGCTTTGAGCTTGTCTGGTAAAGAACACACCCAACAATTAGAAATTTAATATATAAAGTTATATATTCTGGGCTTTGTAAGACCCTGAGCCAGCCCAGGGCCTTCCAGCACTTCCAGAATTAATTTTCCCATGAATTTAGAGCAGCAAAGGTGTTGTTTGTCACCCTGGTTTTTCCAGCTGTGCGGGAGGAGGGGGAAGCAGCGCTGACGGAAGCGGAGCTGGAGCAGAGGGTGGATATTTTCCTGTCAGAGACAGACACGCTCTGGATGTTGGACCTGCCAACTGCTGTGGTGTCCACGGAGGCAGAGGAAGCTGTGAGAGTTCTGTAAGTCAGCTGGCACCCATTCCTCTGAGAGCAAAACCTCCATTTCCCACAGCTCCGTGTTCTCAGTGAAATTCTTCCTCCCTCCCACTGAAAAATGACAGCAGGTTAGGAAAACCCAGGGCTGGAGGAGGGTGATAATTTGATTTTCATGAAAACAGGAAGACATTTCAAACTGCTGCATTGATTCTTGTGTGTAGCTTCTAATTAATTAATATTAATATAATATTAATTAAGAATATTATATTAATTATAATTATATTATTATTGTATAGTATATCCTATATTATAATATATATTATATATAATATATATTGTTATATACTATTATATATTATTATATATTATTATATATTATTAATATATTATTATTATTATATTATATTAATATAATATTAATTTAGAGTTAAACATAGCAGGCAGCTCCCCTTGGTTATCCTGGACTGCCAAAACTTCGGTGGAAATGCTGAAGTAGAAAAGGAGAAGTTTCCTTTTTGTCTCTTGATGCTCTGCCTTTCACACCCAAGTGATGAGAGCTCTGAATTCCCCCAAAGTTCACAGGCAGCTGGAAGAGGGAAATTTGCTTTTTTTTGGGCTGTTTCTGTTCCAGAACAGCACCACAAAGATCAGAAAGAGCTGCTGAATTACACCAAGGCTGAAATAGCATCCAGCAATCCAAAAAGCAGGAAATTTAAGCTTTGGAAAAACCTCTCCTGATCAACTCCTTGTTAAAGACACTGAGAATTCCAGGCAGAATTTTTCCAGGGAGTCCCCAGCCAGTGTTTCCTTTGTTTTCCAGGGAGAGGAATAAGATTTATACAGAGATTTGCAAGGCTAAAATCGGCAGTGAGTACTTTGAAGAAAAAATAGTGCAAACCTTCTCTGGAGCTGCCAAAAACAAGGAAATGCAATGTGAGACAATCACCGTGGCAGAGAAAGGTAAACCAGGGCAGGAGACTGAGAAAAGGGAATTTTTTACTTCCAGCTCTAAGCAGGAGATGTTTCCTCAACTTCCAGAGCTTTCAGTTCAGACAGGACAATGTGGGTTGTGGTGGCCTTTTGTGCCCCTCCTAAATCTTGAATTTAGTGCTGGAACACTGAATCCATCGCAATAAAATTGTTATTAGTGCTCCCAGAGAATGTTGCTTTTGTGTGAAAAAGGCAAAAAATAAAATAAAATAAAAAATGGGGAATGCTATCCCAAACACTTTTCCTAAAACGAGGGAATAAACCCCAAAAATAGATCACCATCTGTTTGGAAAAGCTATTTGCCACTTTTTTTGTGTGGCTGGAGCATCAGCAGGGCTCATTCCAACCCCTGAGCACATCAAGGCAAATTTTGGGTGGGAGTTGGCCCTGCTCAAAACCCCAAAAAAACCCTGATGGAACTGCAGCAGTCACACCACACCAGGAACTTTAAAGTTATTTTATCTTCTTTTAATGATTCTTATTGAACACAGGCAACCTTATCTGTAAATTTGTAAAAGATAACACTTAAAAGATGAAATTAAAATATGGAATCAAAAACATCCGTTCAAATCTCGACATCTTTGGAAGCAGAGCTGGTTCCAAAGCCCCCCCAGCCCAGGAGTTGGGGTGTAGGGAGCTCCTTGCAGTAATGGACCAAAACAAGAGCCCCTGTGTGAGTGGGAAATTCATTCCCAGGGATGATGGTGACTTCCTGGGATTTGGATCATTCCCTGAATGCCTCAGAACCTACAGAGACAGAAGAACCCAGAGCCCCAGCAGGGCAAAGCAGCAAATCTCCCACAGCTGAAGAGCACGCTCAGGCTGTGGCTGTCCCTGCTGCCAGAGGTAACATTTTCCATTTCTGTTCTCATCCTCCTCAACCAGGCCCATCCCTGGGATTTATGGGGAAAACTTCCTAAAAAACGCTGCCTGGAACCTGCAAGAGAGTTTGCTAAAAGAATCTTGGACAGGGCTGCCCTTCTCTGCACACTGCCATCAGAAATGATCTTAAATAAAGACAAATACTCAGGGATGAGGTTTGCTGGTACTCACTTTAAAAAAGTAGAAGCAAAGCACCACTTGTGAAAAATTCCAGAAGTACCTGAAAAAGATAAGAAAATTATAGAAAAAAAGTTAAGATGATAAAATTAAAAGAAAAGAAAACTATAGCAAGAAACAAAAAATCTTAGTTAAAGTATTATTTTGAATTCTCTGCTTTTTGCAAGTGGAGAATTCTCATCCTTTGATTTTATTGTGTGCAATTTTATCCCATTTATCTCTTATCAGGCAGCATGGGCCTGTTGGACTCTGTGATCCTTGTGGATCCATTCCAACTTGGAATATTCCCATGATTCTGTGATCCAACTTTTTCCATGATCATTGCAGAGCCTGCTGTTCCTGCCAGGAGCCACGAGGAGAAGGAATGCCATTCAGAAACCATCTTAACCTCAGCAAACCTGCAGCAGGATTTAGTTGTCATGGAGAGGATTCTCATGGAGAACATTTTTCAACCCAAACTCGCAGTTTATCGGCAGATTCCTGTCCTCATAGGTTTGTTCCTTGCTCAGTTCCCTCTTTCCAGCCAAAATTTCCTCATTTTCCACAGAAATTCCTCACTTCTGGCTGGGGTTAGCTAAACCCACCTGCAGCAGAGCTGGCTCGCTCCAGCCCAATCCAGCTTCCAATTTTAGCCACAGTTTTACAAGTCAGGATATCTCAATTCCTCAAATTTTCACTTATTTTTGGTTATTCCTACAAACTATTTGCTGAAAGGGTAAATTTTTCCCCTGGTGTGAATAATTAGAGCGAGGTAAGTGGAATGTTCCTGCTCAGATTCCACACCCGTGCGTTTCAGAACCTGTCGTTACCTCAGACACTGAGGCAGAAGAGGATGAGGAGGACGAGGAGGAGGAGGATGAGGAGAAGCAGGAGGAGGCACCAGAAGCAGATGAAAGCCCAGCAGAAGATGCAGGTCCCAGGCTGGAGCAGCTGTGGTCGTACAGGTGTGATTTAACCAGCGGCCGCAGCGTGAGCAGCATGGCTTGGAACAAAGCGAACCCTGTGAGTGCACAAATCCTCCCTGAGCCACTCACAAACTGGGACCAGCAGCTGGTGCTGCCAAGAAACTCCTGGTTCTGGGCTGCTTTGCTGGGAGGGATCTCAGAGCTGGAGCCAATCCCTCTTGCTGCTCTTCTACAGAAAAAGATGAAAGCTTTCATCTACAGGCTGCACTAGGCTTGCCCTACACGTGGATCATCATGGATTTAATTGGCCCAGAATTCCATTAATTGCTCCAGTTTACCCTGAACAGCGATTTTAATAGATGTTGGTCCGCTCTAAAATTAAAATTTAACCCCTGCTGCTAAACTTTATTGTCACTGATAAGAGTTTATTTGTGGTAGTTTAGACACCACGTCTTTGTCTCTAACAGGAACCTCCCAAAAAAGCAGAATTCCTCAAAATTTAAGGGTAAGATGAACAATAACAGCACAGAAGCCTTTAATCTGGTCATGTAAAGTTCTGTTTTCCCAAGACAACTCACTTATTAAACAAAAATAATGAATGGAAGAGAGGTAGAAAGCAGCTGAGGGTGAGAAACAGAAACCCAGTGAGGGGAAAAAAAAGAAAGAAAATAAAAACCATTCCATACTTTTAGTGCACCAAATATTAAAAAGTTAGATACTTTTAGAGAGTTCAGTCTTAGAATACAGGGCAAGCAATCAGCTACCTTTAAAATGTGAGTTTCACAAACTACTTGTTGAGTGAAAGAAAAGAAAAATTAACAGAGATGAAGGCTAAAGACTTGCTGCTGGTTTTTATTTCTGCCTATGGAAAGGAATGAAGGGAATTCCCTGTGGAAAGCTAAAAGCCAGGAGTTTGAGGTGTTCTCTGAAGCTCCTTTTACAGCTAACTCTGATGAGAAAAAAATGAGATGTATTCTTCTGTACTCCACTAAACAATGCACACGAAAATATGATTCCAGAGCAACGTATCTCCTGTTCCTCCCTGCATAGGACAGAAGCTTTGTTATTCCAGACTTCACCCTGACACAAAGGTGCCTTTGGAAATGCCCTGCTGATTTCCAAGAGGATCTGAGATATTGCTGTTGCTCTGTGCTTGCAGGATCTCCTGGCAGTTGGGTACAGAGAGTTTGTTTCTCTCAAGAAGAAAGGCCTGGCTTGCTGTTGGTCACTGAAGAACCCCATGGTAACGAGCCCCTTTGTTTGCTTTTCCTGCAATCTGCTTTTCTCTGGACAATTTCTGCTTTATTTGCCTTTGAACTACAATTATTTACTCTTAACTTCTCCCAACACTGGCAATAAAAAAGGAAATTTCATAGATGTAACATTTACACCTCTGCAGATCCATCTGAAAAGGAATCCTTTTAAAACCAGCCATTAAAAAAAAAAAACAAACTATTTGGAAATCTGAGTTACAAACTATCCCAGTAAAAAAATTCGGATTGCTGTAAATGACAACATCTCAGTTTGATTTCTACTACAAACTTCTCATGGCCAAAACTGTATTAGACTAATTGAAACCAGGCAGAGTCAAATCTTTGATGCGTCTTTACCACACCAAACACTCTCATGATTCTCTGCTGTTACCATAGACACTTTTAGGTGTTTGGTTTGGAGTAACCCTACCTAACTTAATTTCCAGTGTCATAGTTCTGCACTTTTCCCTAATTTTATCAGTTGTAGCAAGAAATACACGGAGCCAGTCAGAAGAGAGGATCATTTCTGCTCACTGTGGCCACCACCACTTGAGTTTCCCAGCAGACATTTAAGGCCCAGGGTTAAGAAAAGAGAGGTAAATAATAACCCAGCTGACAGCCTCGCTGTGTTTCTCTCCTGGGCAGTGGCCAGAGCGCATTTTCCGCTGCGAGCACGGCGTCACAGCTGTGGATTTTTCCCTGGCAAGGCCCAACCTGTTGGCGGTTGGGATGGCCAATGGACGCGTGGCCATCTACGACGTGCGGAGCCGGAGGGACGCGGCGCTGCTGGACAGCAGGTCAGCCTGGCAGCTCCCCACACCCTCTGATTGGCCTTGGAAATACAATTATTTACTCTTAACTTCGATGTTTACACCTCTGCTGATCCATCTGAAAAGGGATCCTTTTAAAACCAGCCAGAGGCAAATTATGGAGGCAAACTTTGGGAAGGGGCAACAAAGCAGTGCCATTCCCTCACCCTCTAAGCAATTGCAGCTCTTTACCCTCAGCCATAATTTATATTCTGTGTCCTGACTAGGACAACCCAGCCCTGGGTAATAAATCCTTATTTATTTACCAGTGGTGGCTTTTGGTGCTTTCTCTCTGATCCCTCTTGCCACAAATGGAGAGAATATCAGAATAAGTGAGGGGTGAGCAGGAATTAAGAAGAAAATGAGAGAGGGTGGTGATGAGGGAAGCACCTGCCCTAAGGGCAGCTCCCCAGGTCTCAGGCACTCTCCTACAAGGTGCAGACTGATTTCATGGTGCAAGCACATGAACAGTGCCCTGAAACTGATTATCAAGCATGTTTAATAAAGAAACATTTTCCTGAAGAAAACAACCAATGGCCAGACCATTTCTTTAAAAGAAGAGCTAAACATTTCTGTTATAAGACTTAACACTCGTTATAAAGCGGAAGCTTAATTATTTTTCAAACACATTGTCTTGTCTTTGCTGATCTGTGATTAACCACGTGTATTTTTTTGTGTGCCAGTGCATCCCTAAATAAACACAAAGGTCCTGTGTGGCAGCTGAGGTGGGTGCAACAGGACAGAGGTGACAAAAAAGAGAGGCTGATGTGCATCTCAGGAGATGGGCGAGTGACCCAGTGGTTCATCCAGCAAAGGCTGGATTGCTTTGGTGAGCACCTGAAACCTCTCCCTTTGGTTCCAGCTGACATCCTTTACACCAGATATCCCACAAAACACTTGAGAGCTGCTGACCATCCCAAAGCAGCACCAGTTCCTCACAGCCTTCTGACAAAACCTCCTGCTCTTTGCACAGATGTGATGAAAATCAAGAGAACACAAAGCGGGAAGAAAAAATTACCAGGTGAGAGAGAAAGGAAAAGTGAAGCTCCCATATCACAACAGGCAGCTGGGATGTGCTTTGACTTCCATCCAGAGGTAGGCTCAGAAAGCCCATCCTGGCTGAAGTGTTAGCCAGGAAAGCTCTGCAGCACTGGTGGGATGCTCAGCTGGAGCTGCTTTAGTGGGAACCAGCCAGGGACTTGGCACTGCTATTAAAATCATATTAATTTTGAAATAAATTGCTTTCTAGCTACTAAGATTTACCCCAAATGGGTAAAAAGGTGAAACAAGCCCTGTCCTTCCAGCCACATTACTGACATTTCCTTGGGCAGTTCCCCACTGGCTGGGTGTTCAACACCTCCCACATCCAGGACCCAGCCGAGCTCCTCTTCAGCCAGCTGAGTACTTCCTCCACAGAGCACTCCAAGAATTCATGCGTTTTCCACATGGATTGCTGAAAATCCAAGATCTTCAAGCCCCAGCACGTTGTGAACACACCCAGCAGATGTGCAACGTTGTGGTTCCACTTCAGCCACCGCTCACAGGAGCTCCTCCTCGGCTCTGAACTCATCCAGCCCTGGATGATTTCTGCAGCAGTGAGAAATTCATCCAACCTAGGCTACTTTTCCCTTTCTTTCAGGATTCTGATATTTTTCTTGCTGGAACAGAAGAGGGCCACATCCACTGCTGCTCTTGCTCAGGCAAGGAGCAGATTCTGGGGACGTACAGAGGCCACGAGGTGAGTGTAAAAAAAGTAAGAGTTTCTTTGTTTATATTTAGGGAATGTGTGCAACAAAAGAAACCTAAACTTCTCCTATATTAGGAATGAATTCCCATAGCATAAGGCATCACAGTTTTACAGGATTATTTTCTACGCTGTCAGGATATTTATTAAAACTGGGACTGTAAACTGGTTTAAAGCTTTAGCTCTGGCTCTATTTTAAGACAGCAATCAGAAATCTGATTGTCCTGTAGAATTAAATAGTCTTACCAGTGGGAGGAAGGCTGGGTAGCTCTAGAAAAGATTCTGTAGCCCTACAGCAACACCAAGTTTTGGTTTGTTTCTCTCCAAACAGGGTCCTGTGTACAAAGTTGCCTGGAATCCCTCCAGCACAGACATGTTCCTCAGCTGCTCTGCAGACTGGAGCATCCTTTTGTGGCACCGGGATTCCTTCACCCCCCTTTTAACCTTCACTTCTGTCACAGCTTTTGTTCACGACATCAAGTGGGCTCCAAAATCCGCCTGCATCTTCGTAGCGGTGAACGAGAGGAGGGTGGAGTTTTGGGATCTGAGTGTCAGCATGTGAGTAATGACCCTTCTCAAGGCAGAGCCTGAAATTTTAATTGTCACACATCATTACCTCATCAGTGTTTTTTATCACATCGTTACAGCCCCACACGCGGCTTCCTCAAACCCCACTGCATTTTGAAATACTCGTGGTGTAAAAGCAGGTGGTGGTTACCAGAGATTTGGGGTTAGAAGAGAAGGAGCTGGATGCCCCATGGAGTTGATAAAGTGCAAAACTGCCCTTTTTCTGCAGAAATTGTGGCAGAGTTAAAAGGAAAAATAACAAAACGGAGCTACTTTGGTAAAGATTGGATGGTCTGAAGTTGAGATGACTCTCAGTTACCTGTGACCTTGTCCAGCTGCTCAGGGTTTGGTGTTACTGACAGTGTGAAGCCCTGGTGGATCCAGAGCTCTGCCACATCCTGCAAATTACTAATCTAATAAAAATATTAACCACCACTCTCCAGGTTAGGACAGATTTTAGGCAAGCAGGATCTCTTAGTTAACAGCAGCTGGGATTTTTCTTGTGTCAGAGCCCAAACCAAGCACCGCCTCCCTTCCCGGTTTTTGAGATAACCCAGAAGTGAAACGTGCAGTTTTCAGCTGATAAATGCATGGTACCCATTAATTTTTGGATTTCAGCTTCCAGCCGGTGTTCTCCTGTGCTGCCATCCCTGAGGGGAATCTCAGCTCCATCCTGTTTGCCAGGAACGCCGAGTGCCTGCTCCTGGGGGACAGCAGTGGCCAGGTGGGGGTGTGGCAGCTGCACGAGCTGGCTGTCCCCAGCACAGAGCAGGTAGGGCTCATTCCTCAGCCAGGCAATTCTGGGAAACACCACCCAGCAGGGGGATACTGGAGTAGGTGGGATCACAATCCCAAAGGTGCTGGCTCCTGCTCTCCTGCTGCCACACCACTGGGAATTAATTTCCTTTAGAAACAAGAGGAATGTCTGCATGCTGCCAAGCGTGACAGCACGAATGCAACCAAACCTGGCCTGCCAAAAAGTGCTGTTTTCCAGCATTAACAGAATTCCAAAGAAGAATCAGGAATTCCAAAGAAGAATCAGCTCTTTTTCCTCTTCTTTTCCAGGTTGGTTCCTTGTGTGACATTGTTGCTTCTGCTGGAGCTGTTTAACAGTAGCTGATATCCCTTCTCCTTCAGGAAACACTTGCTGTAGTATGAACATAAGTCAGTTATCCTTTTTTAATCAATAAAGTTTCTCTTTGAGGCTGCACTGCTTAGAAACTTCTTCCAAATGCCCTCAGTGTCCTCCTGGAAGTCCCCTCCTTGCAGGAGTGTTCACACATGGATGGCTTTCTCTGGAATCCTGATCATGGAAAGGTCTCCATAGTCTTTTCTCCTGGGGCCTTTATCCCTTCCTGCTTTTCCTCCCAAGCTCTTTTGTCCTTGGGTTGAAAGCAGGCAGTGTTTGGCTGCCTAGAGTGGGTTTTTTGGGGGGCAGAGAAGAAGAAACAGAAAAAAATTACACAGCTGGAGGATTTCCAGGCACTTCCTGCCCACAGGAAATGGGGAGCATCTCCAGAGGGGTGAATGAGCACAAGTTGTAGCCCTGCTGCTGAGCACATTACATATGGAAAGGTGTATTTTATAGATCCAGAACATCCAACCTCTCTCATTATCCTGACAATAAACACCCAGCACTCAAACACATCACTGAATTAAGGATCATTTGTGCTGCATTAACATCCACTTCCCTCTGTGTGCTGCACATCTGACAGGGGACATGCAAACTTCCCCCTGACATAAAATTCATCTTGGTGCGTTTCAAAGAAAAGACACTCGTTAAGGTGAATCATTTGTTAATCATTATTATAAATCTGACCAAAATACACCCTATATTTTCCATCCATGCCCATGACTGTTTGCTTACTGCTAAAAAACAAGCTTTCTATAACCCACCCTGCACACAGTGAAAATTAATTACCTGTAACATTATGGTGCTGGAAAATCCTTGTGGTGCTAGGAAGGGCTCAATATCTCCCAAGTTCCTCGTGTATTTTGTCCTTAAACATGGAATTTCTGACCATATAATTGAGAAATTCCCTTCTAGAGGCATTTTAGTGCAAGGATTTTTTTATAGAAACCTAAATTACACTGAAGCCAACATTAGGAACCAATGAACTTCTGCTCCCAGAGCAGAGAATCCTGGCTGGGATACCAATACATGCCACAAACCCCCTCTAGGGTGGATTTTCTCAGCAGTGCTTGGCCCTGCCAGGTTTTTTCCCACAAGCATCCACAGTTTAGCTGTAAACAAGCTGGGGGAGTGGAGAGGAGCATGGGAAGGAGTTCATTCCACTTTTCTTTGGGGTCACCAACAGAAGATGACCCCCATCAGGACTGGGCATCAGGTGTGTGGGGGACACAGACACCAAACACATTAAGTAGAATCCATGTCACAAACACCCTTTTTTCCTGGCAGAACACACATTAACAGCATCCACCTAATCCATACCCCATAAACCTGTCACACCTCAGCTGTTTCCAGTAAAGCAGCTCCATAGACTTCAGAAATCTTTAATTTAACCTGACTGAGATCCCAAAGCACTTCAAACATGACCAGGAACAAGCAGTTTATTTGTTTTCAGCAAACATCACCGCACTCAGAGCGAGCTGGTACTCAGTGGAGTGGACAGACCGTCGGTATAAATGGGAAGGCTCCAGCAGAATTCCCCACTGGATCCCTTCTGCCCAGCTGGGAAAGCACCACGCTGGCAGCATGAGGGGCACGCTGCTGGCACTGGGCTGCCTCATCCTCCTGCTCCTGGCACGGGAAGGGGAAGGGGAAGGCCACAAGGTGAGGCTCTGCGGCAGAGATTTCATCAGAGCCGTGGTGTTCACCTGCGGCGGCTCGCGCTGGAAGAGGAACCTCCCTGGGCACCACGGCCTGCGCGGTGAGTACCGGCTGCAACATCCCAGGCTCTCCCCTGCCTGCTGCACCTGGATCCCAGGGGATCCCAGGGCATCCCAGGACATTGGGAAGCAGCACATCCCCTTAGGCTGCCCTCAATGCCCACAGCTCCAGCCCTGCAGCATGGGCTGTGCCAGGAGAGCCAGCCAAGAGCTGCGGCTCCTCATGTTCCCTCTCCCTGCAGCTTCTTTGGCTCAGCTTCCTGGGCTATTTCACTAAAGAAAAAGAATTTAGACCAGGGTTTTCCAAGCTCACCTGAGGAACAGGATTCAAAGCAAGAAAACCTCTCTGCCATCACATTTCTAGGGACAGTGACAAGTTTTGCTGAAGTCGTTGCAACTGTCTTACTGTGGTCTTCAGTTTCCCCACTAGAAAACAGAAACTCTCTAATTTTATTATTAATTTATTATTATTAATTTAATAATTAATTTAATAATCTTTGTAATTAGACCATGTTGAATATCCACTCTGCAATTTAAGCACCTTCCCGTGCTTTGGTGTATATTTATGCTTCTCAGCACGTGTCTTGATACTCAGAAAATTTTGATTTGACAGTCAGAAAATTCAACCATTACATGGGCAGTTAGAAATCTGTACTCTGACAGATTAAAATAAATAGAGAACAAGAAAATAACTGAGGCAGGTGACAGCAACAGAGGCTTTCTGCACTTCCTAAATCTGCATTTTGGGCAAATTCTCTTGTAGCAGCAGCTTTAAACAAATACAAAAGCAGTAACATGGGCAACCCCCTCCCCAGAATCTGCTGAAGAACCTTACTTTTAAAAAGTGAGAACTGCTACACCTTTACAGACTTCACAAGGCCCAGCTGTTGAAACTGAGGTGTTTCAACTGCAGCTGGATTGTAATTTCTGTGGGAACACCCAGAACTTTGGCACAGCTGATGTCTTAATGCAGCACCTGCAATTTAGGAAGCCCCCAGGTCCTGCTTAACGTGCTGGTCAAGAGCTTCTGACACATCAAATCACAGTTTTTCCTGGAGAAGCAAATATCTCAGTGTAAGACTCAAGGCAACACAGGACACTCCTCAAGAGAAATCCCTAAATGACTCGTTTTTAGCATGTTGATCACAGATTGTCCCTCACAATGAGGAGTCAGTGACGTGGTGCTCACATCAGAGGGTAACACTCAGCTCCCTGGCTGTAGCTTGGTCTGTCTCTCTAGTAAAGATAAAAAGCATAAATTACTTATCTTCCCATGACTTTTAACTTCTCATTTTCCTGCGGCAGAGAGTGAAAACCCCCAGCACTTCCCACACGAGGAGGAGGGTGACGCTGCCTTCTCATCACAGCCAGAGCCGAGGCTGGGGATCCACAGCGAAGAGCCCCAGGATGTCAAACCTGAGCAAGACTCGCAAAACACCAGCAAAATCTCTGTGCTAAACAAGCGTGAGGCAGCCAAGCTGCTCACCACATCCTGCTGCAACGTGGGCTGCAGCAGGGCAGAGATCAGCTCCCTGTGCTGAAACGCAACAGCTCCGTGTCACAGCTCCCAGGGATTAAAACATGACATAAACCACAGTCCTTTCAGTTGTGTTCTTTAATTGTATCTTTTTGGGTGTTAAATGTCACAGTGCATACCAGCAAGTGGCTTCAGGTTGTCTGCATTTCACAGTGTTTACAGCAGGTTAAACTTTCAGTCATGAGTACATGAAGTGTTTCTACCCAACTAACTACTGTTCTGGGTTTCAGCTTTGCACCTAAAATGTAATAAAGTAAGCAATTTGTGATAGATTTGTTCTCTGACTCAGGAAAATCTAACAGCAGGTTTCAGCAGAGAAATAGGGGTGGCAAAAGATCTGGTTTCAGATTCAGAGCAAGGTCAGCCAGACCCCACCTCAGCAGGGAACAGCTGCAACAGGAGAGACTTGGAACCATCAGCACCAGCCCCAAAACCAGGCAGGCAAAACCTAAAATTCCATTTATTTCCTACTCCAGGAATGTTTCCAGGAGGAGAAGAGGGAAACCATTACTTACAGGGAATATTCTGAACACATTTCCCCAACACAGCAAGTTCTGCAAGCAGCAATTAGCTGCAAAACTGCCTTAGAAAGTCACTTCCCAGAGAAAACTCTGGGAAAGACCCTTATTCCATTCGCCCAAAGGCTCTTCTCCTGCTGCTAATCTCCACTACCTCCCTACTCAAAATACACACCATAGACGTTTGCCACAGCAAAGAGAGAGGTGTTCTTGAACACGTAGGAGGAGAAGGTGTCAGTGTGGGGATCCCAGAGGCACCTGCTGCTGATCTGCAGGCTCTGCTGGCCCAGCTGCCCGATGTGAGCCACCACCACGATCTTGTACCTGGGCACCTGCAGCGCTTTCACCCGCGCCTTCACAACCTGCGGGGAAAAACAGATTTACTCCCTGGGGGATCAAAGATGGGGATGGATTTATAGCTGGGGAAAGGGGATGGTATTAAGCTGACAAGGAGGGCAGGGCTGGATGGGATATTGGGAAGGAATTATTCCCTGGGAGGGTGGGAAAGGGCTGGGATAGAATTCCCAGAGCAGCTGGGGCTGCCCCTGGATCCCTGGCAGTGCCCAAGGCCAGGCTGGATGGGTTTGGAGCAGCCTGGGACAGTGGGAGCTGTCCCTGCCATGGCTGGGGTGGCTCTGGGTGGGCTTTGAGGCCCCTCCTCACCCAAACCAGTCTGTAAATCTATTTATTAACTCCTACATGTCGGTACCCCCAGCTGAGCAACCCTTGCCGTTATCTCCACAGCCATCCCTAGCCTTCATCGTACACTTTATCGGGCTTTTGGGGGGATATTTGGGGCACCCCATGGGCAAATGTCCCACCTCGGCGATGTCCTTGGCCGCCTCCCGGCACGGCCCCGGCTCGTAGCGCTGCTCCCTCAGGGCGCTCCCCAGCACTTCCCTCAGGATCTCATCCACCGCCGCCACCGGGAAGCGCCCGCCAGGCCCTGCCAGGCAAAGCTCGGCTTTATCAGGGGAAAAAATCCCACCGCTGAAGGGTTTTTGGAGGGGCAATCGAGACCCACCCGGGCCGGGCTCGCCGGGGGTTTCGCCGCCCTCCATCGCCCTCAGCTGAGGAGGGGAGGCGGTGCCGGCAGCGGGGCCCGCCCGCCGCATTCCCGCTCCGCCTCCATCCTGTCACATTCCGGGCTTCTATCCCTTCTCATTCCCGGCCTCCATCCCCCCGCATTCCCGGCTTCTATCCCTCCACATTCCCGGCTTCTATCCCTTCTCATTCCCGGCCCCCGGCATTCCCACCCTCACGGCTGACTGTTCCTGCGGCTCCCACGGTTCCCCATCGTTCCCACAGCTCCCGGTGGATCCCCATGGCTTCCGTATATTCCTACAGTCCCTGGTGTCCCCACAGGTTCCCTCACATGTCCCCGTGTTTTCCACAGGTCTCTGTATTCCTTCACAGTCCCCAGCGGTTCCCATGGCTCCCACGTATCCCCACAGCTCCCACAGGTCCCTCTGTGTCCCCACAGGTCCCACAGGTCCCTGCATGTTCCCATAACTTGTCCCCACAGCCTGCCCAGGTCCCTGCAGCTCCCAGATGTCCCCTAAAGAATTCCACCTAAAGATTCCTAAAGGAACCTAAAGATTCCACGTGGCCCCATCCAAATGTCCCCACAGCTCCCTCTCCTGAGGGTCCCTGTGACCTCCTCAGGTCCCCACTGCCGCCCCAAATGTCCCTGCATCCCACAGAGATTCCCGTGATCCCTGTGGATCCTCACAGACCTCCCATGTCCCTACGGCCCTGAAGTGTCCCCATGGCCTCTGTGGGTCCCCCAACCCCACATCCGTCACGTCCCCACATCCATGTCCCCACATCCCTCATGTCCCCACATCCCTCACGTCCCCACATCTCTCATGTCCCCACATCCCTCACGTCCCCACATCCCTCATGTCCCCACATCCCTCATGTCCCCACATCCCTCACGTCCCCACAGCCCCATTCCATCCCCACGGTCCCTGTGGACCCTCGTGTGTCCCCACACGCCACCCTCGAGCTGTCCCCTTGCTGGGACACTGCACATAACTCCAGCAGGAATGATGGTTTTCAGAACAGGGACCCTTTTTTGGGACAAGAAGTCCTTTTTTGGGCCAGCCTCCAATCCCTCTGCCCGCTCCTCTGGTTGCTCCCACATGTGGAATCAAAACTTGCTCAGTAAAAGAAATGTTTTACCATTTTTTGTTTATTTTCAAGGAAAAAAATAATAATAATCACATTTAAATTGCAACTCAGTTGGGTATTTTGTGTGTTTCTTATGTATAGAATGAATAAACTTTGTTCTGACGTGGGGATTTCTTTGTCACAACGCTCTGCATGGTAAATAATTGCATATTTGAGAGTCGGTGAAATGGGTGACGGGGAGGATGGAGGAGAGACATTTATAAAAAACAGTATTTACAAAAATGATATCCACATAGTCGTACTCTAATCTATAAGGCAAGTAACATTTAAAATATGTTGTTTCATGATTATCTTCAACAAGTCAATACAACACATTCATATTACCAGTGGTCAAATACAAAGCTTCGCTGCAGTAGTCCCTGTGCAACAAACCTGTACGTCTTTTATAGTTTATTTTTTTATTTCTCTGAGAAGAGTAGGAAAGCAGCAAAGTTTTCATCACAGACTAAGCAGAACCTAGGCCATTGTGGACTGAAGGTATAATATATCTCATTGCACGTTTAGGCAGGAAAGGCCAGCCATTCATTAACTTATTTAACTTAAATCTTAAAAATAGACCTGTGTATCTTCATCCACAAATATTTATAAACATTTTATACACGAGGGAGTTCATTCAATGGCCCAGGGTGATACCTGGGGAGATTTGATTCACTGCTGGGGGGGTCACACTGGGCTTGTCTCACATCCTGGACCCTTCTCCTGCCAGCCCTGGGAGCTTCCCGGCACATCCCGACTCAATTCCTGGTTCAAACCACCACACATCTCCCTTTGTTTTATGTCACCCAAGCATCCAGAGGATTTCAACAACCTTACAACATTTGGGAGTGAAAAACCCCCTTCCTGCCCCAACACAGGGACAGCACACCCACAGCAATTCCCGTTTCCCCAGAAAACCTGGGATGATGAATGAGTGATCCCAAAAGCCCCGCTGGGATCTGGTGTGTTCCACCACATCCTGCTTGTCCAAACCTTGGAAGAGAATCCCCACCATCCATTTGTGGTTCCAAGAACCACTGCCAGCAGCACCATCCCTCCTAGAGGGACAAGGGAAGCCAGGAAGGAGCAGGGAGTATTGCTGCAAATCTTTTCCTCGCAGTGAAACAAGAATTAAAATCCTGACTGGAATAATCCTGATTATCATAAAACCTCCCCAGCTCTACACGGATTCATTTCCTTGGGAAATGGTGAGGGAAAGAGGAACAGAAGAATTCTGGCAATGAAATGAAATCTTTGAGATGATAATTTCTAACCAGGAAAGTAAAACAGGATGATGTTGCTAATTTTGGTCATGACAAGCTTCAAAATGAAGATATTTTCATATAAAAGCAACAAAAAGGTGTGTGTGGGGGAAAGTTTGATTCTCTCTTAGGTAAATTAAAAATCTGTCACCTTTTCAGTGCACTCCAGCCATTTGAAAATGCTTCTGCTGGGAGAAAGAGAGGCGGTGACTCTCTTTTTTTTTAGGATGCTCCTGCTGGAGGAATCTTGGAGAGCAGCACAGGCCTGCTCTGCCTGGCTAAAAAGGGATGGCATTCCAACAGAAACTTCCAGGGATTTTTCCCCACTTGGGTCTTAAAAAATGATAGATAAAACCTGGAAGAGCAGAGTGAAGACAAATGAATTTAACTGAAATACCAAATGACAGCAAAAACAAGACTTAAACAGGGCAGTGATATTTATGAACAAATGCAGACACCAGATGAAAAGCTCATTATTTGCTGGGTTTTCCTACAATTGAGAGATTTCAGAGTTATTAAGAAATATTTTTAAAGTAGAAAACTGCTCTGAAATGTCTCCTGTGAGGAGCTGGCTGAGAATTGGGACTGCTTGCACCAAACAGCAGAAAAGGTGGCAGAAAAATCACCTCTTGCTCCCACCGTGTAAAATTCCAAGTCTGAAGGTGTCCGTGGGGGAAAACTCCCGCTCTGTCAGCAGGACCTCAACCCTGCAGGTGTGGGCTGCCAAATTCCCAGGGAAAATTCCTTGGGGAGAGGTCTAAAGGGAAAGGTGAGAGGAAGGAAGGGAGCTAAAGCCTTTCTGTGCATGCATCCACAGTTTTATTACTGAATGCCTGCTTTATTTATCCTCCTGTTTCCTCGGATGGATCCCGGTGCTGTCGAGCTCAGGGGCAGTGCCAGAGGGCTGAGCTCCCTCTCCAGCCTCAGCCTGACCTGGAAAAACCCTGCTGGGAAACAGAGCTGCAGTGATTCCCTCAGGGAATGCTCCAAGAGCCAGGCTGGGAGAGCTGGGGGTGCTCAGCTGGAGAGGAGAAGCTCCAGGGAGAGCTCAGAGCCCCTTGCAGGGCCTGAAGGGGCTCCAGGAGAGCTGGGGAGGGACTGGGGACAAGGCCTGCAGGGACAGGACACAGGGAACGGCTGCCAGTGCCAGAGGGCAGGGCTGGATCGGATCTGGGGCAGGAATTGTTCCCTGGCAGGGTGGGCAGGCCCTGGGATAGAATTGCCAGAGCAGCTGGGGCTGTCCCTGGATCCCTGGCAGTGCCCAAGGCCAGGCTGGATGGGTTTGGAGCAGCCTGGGACAGTGGGAGCTGTCCCTGCCATGGCTGGGAGGTTTCTGGGTGATTTTTAAGATCCCTCCCAACCCCAACCTGTATGGGATCTGCGTGAAACCAAATCCCTGCCATTTCACCTCCCTGCTCCCTTTGAGTGGCCAGGCAGCCCCAGGCAGGTGAATTCCCTGAAAATACACCGATTTTCACCTAAAAACCAGGGTGAAGCCTGCAGAGCTTGAGTGCCCTGAACACTCCAGGCCCCTCTCTGGGGCCAGATGCTCTCACCAAACCCCCAACAAAGCCCTGGGGCACTCTGAGAAGACACTGCCAAAAAACCCTCAAGTTTTAAACTCTGTGCCCAAAAACTGGCAAGAGCAGCATGGAAAAATCTGTCCCAAATCTCCTCCTGTGGTCCCGGTGTCACATCCTTGGTGTCACCTGCCAGTGGCTGCAGCCGTGTCCCTGTGGGGCTGGCAGTGCTGGCACATCCCACACGCCCCAGAAATAGGACAAAATGTCCCAGACTGTTCCCATCTCTCTCTCTCCAGGCCACGAGGGCTGCATCCCAAAAAAAAAGTGACCTCTGTTGTGTTCACCAGCTCAAAGGGGATGAGCTTGGGAGCTTTGGGTTATGGGTTTTTCTGTTGAAAAAGCATTCAAAAAAACCCAATGCTAATGTAAACACCTTGTCTTTCAAATGAAATATAAAGTAAAATCTCTATCTTCTGGTAATATTTACATTATAAATCCATTTTTTTTTTCTCAGGTCTCTGCCCTGGATCTTTTTTGGAAGGATGGGTTTGGAACAATTGTACACAGCATAGACCTGACTCTTGCCCTGTGTCAGAAAGGGGTGAGCTACACACTTTATACAAATTTCCAGTTCAGGGGGGAAATCATTCATGGAGTGGAACACTGGGGAGTGCTCTCCCAAAATCTGTGAGGGTGTGGGAAGCTGCAGGAGTGAATTGTGCTTTTCCTTTCCTGCTGCTGCCTTTTGTCAACTCACAGCTCACCCCCCCAGTCTCAGCCTGGGAGCCGCCTCACACCTGAAATATCCCCACATTTCCTTCTTTTCTTTTCAGATGGGCACAGATCCCCCTTTTCCTACACCAAACTGCTCCGTAAGCCCATCCCAACACACCCAGGCTGTTCTCCAATGTAAAATGCACCACCCTAAGCCTGGCAACACTTGTAAAATCAGCACTTTTTGTCATCTTACACATTCCCAACGTCCCAGCACCCCATTCCATGGATGCTCCTGTGCATCTCTGTCTGATTCCATAAAGATTCCTTCATTTTCCCTCTCAATATTGCCAAATTCTCCTGTTTGACTCAGCTGCAGCAGCGCCACCAGCTCTCACCAGGAGTCTGGAATGGGAAGGGACAGGGAAAAGTGCACAGGGACAATATTTTGTCCCCTATTCTCCAGTCCAGCACTTCCATGTGTTTTCTCATCTCTCCAAGCCAGCTGAGCGCTAAAATAGAGAAGCAGGTGTGGCTGCAATTCCAGGGAGGGAGGAAGGGAGGGAGGAAGGGAGGGAGGGAGGAAGGGAGGGAGGAAGGCAGGAAGGCAGGAAGGAAGGCAGGAAGGAAGGCAGGAAGGAAGGCAGGAAGGAAGGCAGGAAGGCAGGAAGGAAGGCAGGAAGNTTTCCAAGCTCACCTGAGGAACAGGATTCAAAGCAAGAAAACCTCTCTGCCATCACATTTCTAGGGACAGTGACAAGTTTTGCTGAAGTCGTTGCAACTGTCTTACTGTGGTCTTCAGTTTCCCCACTAGAAAACAGAAACTCTCTAATTTTATTATTAATTTATTATTATTAATTTAATAATTAATTTAATAATCTTTGTAATTAGACCATGTTGAATATCCACTCTGCAATTTAAGCACCTTCCCGTGCTTTGGTGTATATTTATGCTTCTCAGCACGTGTCTTGATACTCAGAAAATTTTGATTTGACAGTCAGAAAATTCAACCATTACATGGGCAGTTAGAAATCTGTACTCTGACAGATTAAAATAAATAGAGAACAAGAAAATAACTGAGGCAGGTGACAGCAACAGAGGCTTTCTGCACTTC